TTTTAGTTTAATTTATTTGCATTGTTATTTCCATTTCCATGTTTTTAATTGAACTCTAACTTAATCACTTCACCAAACTCTTTTTCTCTCTCTCTATTTCTCTCTTTCACAATCTAATTAACTTTAAAACCAAGTTTAATCCCAACACGTGTTCAATCCCTTGGGACGATCCATACTCGCTTCATACTCCATAGTATAAGTGTTTAGTGGTTTTATAAATTTTAAAATATGATGCCCACTTGACATTATTTCTAAACCTAAAGTGTTGTGCTTTATTTTATGCACACGCTCAGGTCGCATCAAAAATATTTTTATATATAATATATTGTTGTGCGTATATTTGTATATAATATATTGTTATACATATATTTGGCTGCTGTATTAGTACATCTGGTAAAAAAAAGGCATCAGTAACTTTGTTGACCGAATTGCTTAGTGGGTGCTGAGTTGGAAGTGATTAGATGGTGAGGTGGCAAAAAGGGCTGAGGTGGTTTAATCTCAGTCCTTGGATTCTCAATGGACCTGCTCCAGTGAGAGGTGCACTGGAGCAGATTCGGATCCAACTAACACAAAAATAAAAGTATTATTTACCAAATAAATAAAATATATTATAAATTATATATACACTTCGTATATAAATAAGTGATAAGTGAAAAAAATACTCATAAAGTGTACCTCGCCTAACATTTTTATCCCCTATTTGAAAAAGCATACAAAAAATACCCTTAATCTTTTCACATTGTGCAAAAATACCCCTCAATCATAAATTTGACATAAATTAGCGTTGTAATACCCGTTTTGTCTTTTTACTTTTATATGATACCATTCGATTCTAGAGCCACGGGTGATCAAGTCCGAGCACAGATCCGAGAGATATCAAACAATTAATATGTAAAACGAATACGGAATACAAAACTGATTTTTTTTAAAAAAATAAATAATATAGCTGAAAAGAATTCTAAAATAAAATCCTTACAGTTTAAAAAATTAAAATAATAATAATATTCCAAACTTTCCAATTTCTGTACAACTCGGGAATCCATCTAGTGGACTCCTTAGAATCCAAACTGAACTAAACAACCGAAGATTAAATCCCAATCTAGAACATAAAATGAAATCCTACATTATCGGAGGAGTAAATGTCTGTATCTACTCTGCACGTCCAAGCTCTAACCCTAAAATTGATGAACACCTGAAAAATAAATGAGTGGGTCAGGCCCACATGCAAGTCATATTCTACTACAATCCAATCAGAAATCCGATAATATATACATCCTAGATAGCTCAACAATATCTAGAGTAGTCCATATATATATAATTACACACTATAGGACGCTCACTAGTTCAAGCGGTACGTCTCAGCCTGAGTAGAGATACCATGCAAATCGCACATAATGTGGTCATGTGTATCTAGACTTACCAGGGAACAAAAACCACCGTCCAGTTATCTATCCTAGGCGATATACGCACCCTAATCATGGTCATGAGACTCAAACTCATACCATGACACTATAACATAAATATATAAAGTCCGTTTAAGGTGTGTCATTCAAAATGTTTATTGACCTTACACATAGTTATAAGTAGGACTTAACATTTTGTAGTTAATCCATCTTATTTCAAAATAGGTAGGACTTAGTGTTTGAACTAATCCATCCCCAATATAGGTAGGTCGTAGTGTTTTGAACTAAGTCGTTCCCAATATGCCACCATCCTATACCGATGCATATACACACATATAAGTAGGACTTAACTTTTGTAGTTAATCTAACTTATTACAGAATAGGCAGGACTTCGTGTTTGAACTAATCCATTCCTAATATAGGTAGGTCTTAGTGTTTTGAACTAAGCCGTCCCTAGTGTGCCGCCGTCCCATACCGGTGCATACAAACCTCCACATAGTATAATTTGATAAAACAATATTAAGAAATTCATCAATAATACTCCAAACTATGCACCAATATCAATTAACACATATATCAATATAAGACATTCATTATAGGCCTATAAATCGTATTCCAATAATGTAAACTGCTAAAAAAATCTAAGCATTTACATTCTCTAACTTGTCCATAAACTGATGCAGTGAAATAACAACCATATATCAATTTTTAACCCAAACCAAGCATAGATAATTTCAGGTAAATCACTATACTTATAACTCCATCTAAATATGATTTACAGCTTTAAATCATAAATAAAAACAATCTCCAATTTACAGTAAATAGATTTATTCACCATAACAGTGCACAACCTACAGGTTTTTCTTCACGTTCACCCTACTCCATTCCTTAGTTAAATTATGAATTGACGTTTCTCTATTGTTATACGGGTCTACAATATTCATATACATGATTTAACCCAATTTAAACCCAGTAGAAACACCTTGCACCAACCAAACAGACCCTAAAAACCCAAAACAGTGCGTTTCAGAGGAAGAAAAGGCTCAGAAAAATTCAAAGCCTTCTCCAAAACACGGGAGCCGGCTCCCCACCGTTGGGAGCTGGCTCTAAGGTCTTGGGAGCCGGCTCTTGCTTTGCGGGAGGCGGCCCCTCCTTTTGGGAGCCGTCTCTCTCACCCTTAAGAGCCGTCGTCCGTCTCTGCTTCGTCTTCCTCGTCTCCGGCGTTTTCCATGGCCTCTGTATTTGTTTTAATACTTGTTCTAATGTTCATTCAACATCCCAGACTAATTTTAAGGCATCAATATGCATCAATAATCTCAATTAAACAAAGCTTAAACAAACACAGTAAGGATCAATTTACAGAATGCTACGGATTTGCATACCAGTATAAATTCAATGAAACTAAATAATTTCAAGCATGCATAAAAGACTTGTTTTAGCATCAAATAAACCCCTGGAGTCTACCTAGGCATGTGCACAACACGGGTTAAAGGAAAAGAGCTAGAACAAAACTTGCCTTGAGTTTCAACTTTGAAACCCTAAACCCCCATCTCTGAATCTTTAGTCAACGTTGTAGACTACCGTTTTACTCCTCCAGTGCTCTTGGTTCAACCTAGAATCACTTTGTTCCTTCCTCCTTTAACCCCGTTGTGTATCCTAAGGTTCAGGCTCTGTTTTTCTCTGTCTCTCAATAAGGTTTGTTCGTCCCCTTATACCGACGTATATAGTTGTATATATATAGACTTTTAAAACCAAAATCCTAATCCTTATAATATTACAAGTATGAATTAATAAAGTCTATAAACAGAGTCGGCTGCAACTTGAATTCTAAAACAATATAAAACCCTAATTTACAATAAACGCATTTAAAGAATATTAAACCAATAAAAATAATTCAATTAAAGCAATAATAATAAAAAGAAAATAATTAATTCAAGTAATTCAAATAATCACAATTAATTCAAAAAAATTCAAATTAAAGCAAACAATTCAACAATTAATGAAAATACATACCTAACAATTTAAAAATGCAATAAAAACAATTAATAAAATACCAGAATTATCCTTTTGAATTTAGGGGTATTACATCTTCCGAAAATGCCCAAGGGGGTATATATGTTACTAATCTCATAGTATAAGGGTGTTATGTGCACATTACATTAAAAATATATATATATGTATAATTTTCTCTATATATATCTCTTTTTTTTTTTAACTTTGAAAATTTGTATAACAAGGATTTGAACTTTTTGAGATTTCAATTTACTGTTTTCTATTAATTTATTTTTTCCTTTATTTTTTATTTTTATTTTTTATATCTTACCAACACTATTTAAAATCAAAATAAAAAAATCCCACTATCAGTGTGCACTATTTTTTGGAGTTTGAAGTAGATTTGTTTTATTTAGTTTGCACTTTATTTTGATTTTTGATATTTGATTTTTATTTTTACTTTTCTTTTATACTTTTATTTTTATTTTATGATTTTATCTTTACTTGTCTATTACCGGCGTCCTCCAATAATGTCAATTTCGGTTATTTTACAAAATTATTTATTTTTATATATTTTATAAAATGATTCAGTAAAAGTAATTTAGGATTTAAATTTGTTAGAGAACCTATTTGCAAAAATTGAAACTTTAGGCTTTAGGGGTGTTTTTTGCAGACTAGGGCATCATCTAGTAGTGTCAATTTCAGTCATTTTACAAAATTATTTATTTTTATATATTTTATAAAATAGTTCAATAAGAGTAATTTAGTTAATGTAGGCCGGGGATTTTTTTTTTTTTTAAGACGCTAAAGTAGTGAAAATAGAGGTGTATGTAAATGTGTGTAGGGGTGACAAATTATAACGCGACTCGAACGTAACACGAGATAAGCGAGTTTGGATTGACCTTAAACGGATTTAGGTCATAAAGGGGTTGATACGATTAACCCGTTTACTTAATCGTGTAGGGTTAGAGTTGATGAGTCATTTATGACTAGGGATGGCAATTTCCTCCGACCCAACGGGTTTCTACCCCGCCCTTGTCCTTAATGGGTGTATTTAGTTACCCTTAAATGGGTTTGGGACAGGTATGATAAAAATAATTAAAAATTCGAAACGAGTTTGGGACGGGGGCGGATTTAGTGATGACCCCACTCCGATCCCGTCCCGATTATATATGTACCTTTTAATTTTTTTAATATATAAAATATGTATTTTATATTTTTAAAATTTTTGTTACTTTACTGAAAGTACCTGTTAATATATTAATATATATATTTTTTATTACATAATAAAAGTAGTATAATCCCCCATAATTAAACAGAGTACATGGTGTGGAATTAATCTACCGATATAGGAATAGAGATGGTATAACAATTACAAACTCGTTCCACAAGGATATCACTGACATGATAAATTTTTTAATAAGGCCAAGTAGGATTTAGCCAAAACGCCCCAACTCCGCCGCCCCATATCCCTAAATAAAGTTCATAATTTTTTTTTTTCTTTTTAATAGTAAATTTTTTTAAAAAATGAAATAGTTTTTACTAGTAAATTTTTTAAAAAAATGAAATATCAAACCCGCTTATCGCACGAGGTCTGAACTCAAAAAAGATAAAAAAACAGAAGAAGAAATACGATCTAAAATTGTACACATGAATTCAGAATTTGACACTCTGTCTCCAGCAAAGAACCTTAAACCCTCACACTGTCGACTACCAAAACCAGAGTAGCCGCCACCGAAATGGCCGCCGACAAAATCCAAACATTCAACGACTTTGTGAAGGTCCACGGTCTATTACTGGAAGCTTCGGGGATACCCAAGTCACTGTATAGACAGCTCTTCCAGAAGCTCTCGACCGAGACCTTCGATGGCGGTGACTTCTTTCAGGTCGAGCCATGCGAGGATGGCAGACAGAGGCGTCTCGTACTCACCTCGGACTCCATGGAGAAGGAGTCCCAAGTGTTCCTCATCGACCACGCCTGGACTTTTCGCCTCTCCGATGCCCTAAAACAGGTTGCTTTATTAACGTTCTTTTGCCTTTAGTGTGTTTGGTTACTGAGAAAGAGTTTGAAAATAGAAATGAAAGCAAGTAGTTCGATTAAAAAGATTGGAAAATTCCAATGCCCCAAACAGGTCGCCCTGTTTTTTTGGCTTAATGTGTTTGGTTGCTGAGGAAGTGTTGGAAAATCGAAATGAAAACAACGTGGGTCAGTTCAAAAGTCTAGACACTCCGATGCACCCAAACAAACAGTTCTAGTTTAAGTATTAATCCTATAAATCCACACACTAAACCACTCTGTATTTTCTGGGTTTAAAGTGTTTGGTTCCCGAGAATGTGTAGTGAAAAGAAAAGAAAAAATTCAACTGAACTCAATACGAATCCGACTAAGGTGAGTCAGGTCCATTATATATATGGAAATGGGAGATTTGGGCTTAAAATTTTATGATATTGTAATTGTTGTGTACTACATTTACTTGTAGATCAAAGGGAGGCTTTTCTTGTTTTGTTTTTGTTTTTGCTTTGTTTCCAGGAAAAAGCGACTCACGTAAGCAACCTGTCAAATTATAGTTTTAGTTTCAAATATTTGCCATGTTAAAGAGAGCGGCTTTGTGTCTAATCAACCTGTGTTTGCTATTAGTGACAATGTAAGATTTTTAGGTATCCATTGTTTGTATATGTTTCGACTTTTGTATAATGAGATTTGGCGATTTTTTGAGTGGTTTTGCAGTTGGAAGAAGTTCCTGGGTTGGCTGAGAGGATGGGTTCCTTGATGTGTGTTGATATTGATTTGAATTCAGATGTTGAGGAGGCGGATTATGAAGGTGGTGGTTCAGATGAGAATAATACCAAATTGAATGTCGTTGAGATGGTGGAGAGTCAAATTCGCGGAGCCAAAGAGAAAGGTGATGACACTGTGAGATGGTTGGAGCTTGAGGAGCTTGACATTGAGGATGCTACATTGTTATCACTCAACTTGCCACGTAAATTTCAAGTACGTCTGTCTCACATATCCGTTTTGTGTTTCTTTTCTTATATAGATTGGAAACATGGTTCTATTAACCCCATTAATTTTAAAAAGGAGAACATTTCTTGGGCAGTAGCTTTTTGCTCCCAATTAATTGGAATTTAATTTAGTGAGGGAAAGACTGATGAGTATATTACTAGGTGGATGGACTACTTAGGCATGCAAAAATGATTGAAACTAAAGAGAATTCCCATGGTTCACATTTTGCTGCATCAAATATTTGATTGCATTTCCCTTTATACCAATTTAAAAGTAAAAGATACGTGGCTACTTCTTTTTTCCTCTTCCTGGTTTTGGGAATGGAGTTGGGGAGAGGTGTTCATATCCGGTGACAACTCTACCTAATTACATTGCATAAGTGTGTCATGTCAGATCTTACTTATCAAAAAAATGGAAAAAAAGAAAAAAGAAAAGAAGAAGTTATTTATCAGATCAACTAGTCCTTTTCTGGTTGATCCCATGCTTATGGCACTAGGTGATGTCATGGTATTTGAAATTCAATACTTTTTCATGCATACTAGACCAATCCACAATCAACATTCTTATTATAGTGCTCTAGTATCTTACTTATCAAAAAAAAAAAAATAGTAGTATCTTAATTTATTGACCAGTAATTGATGTCATTGCCTTTTCTTTTCATTTTCTGAAGTTTTATCTATGGATTCTCTCTCCCCTCTCTCTCATTTTCTCTCTCTCTTTCGTTAGAATTTGCTTGCGCTTAGCGTGCGTGGAAACAACCTCAAGGATGTGGAAGGCGTTACGCAAGAAATCACCAAATTGAAGCAACTAAAGGCTGTTTGGCTAAACGATAATCCAATTCTACAGAGCTGGTAAGTTTGCTGATTTGTGGACGATTGTTACTCTTTATTCTCTTAAAGATATGATTGGCAGCTTCCTATTCAAGTAAGTACTGAACTATTCTGCTTCTAGTGATGATCACGTGGCAGATACTATTCTTCAAGGTTGTCCCGGATTGGAAATTTATAATTCACGTTTCACCCATAATTTTGGTGAGTGGGCCTTTGGATTTTGTGGAGGAATATACAATGAGGAGAATCCAGGCTGTTTCCATCAGAATGACCATCCGTTGGAGAGTGTGACCTCTCTTGACCTTTCAAATAGATGCATTCACAATTTAATTAATAAGGTCAGAGATAGTACTCTATAAGATTATTGCTATTTTCCTCAAGATTTATTTTTTGTGTTCTATTTTGTTATCAGACTACATTTCAACCTGCATTCCACATTTCAATAAATAAGAGAGAATCTTGCATCTTTCCATGTGTTGGCCATTCAACTATTATCCTGATGAATTTTAGTTGATTAAAACCTGTTTTTTTGTGATTTAAGTGCTGACAATTTGGACATTCAAATTAATTTTGAAGAATGTTAATTGCTGACTCTGTTTGCTCTCCTTTTGTTCAGGCTTTTTCTCCTGTCGAGATGCCATCTCTTTCATATTTGAATATTCGAGGAAATCCATTGGAACAGAACTTGGTTCACGACTTATTGGAGATCTTAAAGGGATTCACTTGCTTATGTGCTCTGGAGGTATCTTTCTAACCTTTGCTCTCTGGACTGTATTCAAATAATTACTCAGTCTTATGCTAAAAAAAAAGAAGCATTGGTACAGGTGGACATTCCAGGGCCTCTTGGAGAAAGTGCTCTCGTAATTATTGAATCTCTTCCTAATCTTTCTTTACTGAATGGTGTCAATACATCAAAAGTTCTAGAATCTGGAAAGTGTGTGATCGATTCAATGCTCCGACCACGTCTCCCTGAATGGGCTGGCAAGGAACCTCTTGTTGTTCGTGTTATCAATGCAATGTGGTTGTATTTGATGACGTATAGACTCGCAGATGAAGAAAAGATTGATGAAACCTCTGTATGGTATGCGTTTGAGCTTGATTTCTTCAACTTCTTGTACATCTTGTTACTAGTTATTTTGGCTTTTAGCACAAGAAGTTACCTAAGGTTAGCTGAAATATTTTGGATCTTTAATATGCAAACATTCTAATGATGGTGGGAACTTCTAGTTCTAAAATCCCATTCCTGTGCTGAATATCTTCAAATCATTTTCGAGGGATGGAGATAATTTTAGGGCAAAAGAGTTGGACCTAATGGCATCATCTGTGGCAAATGTGAGCTATTGCTGCTTTTGTTCCTTTTGACTTTTTTGAAATTATGAGACTGTATTTTAAGCTGATGCCCCCAAATTTGAGATAAAGGGCATCTTGTTCTTTTACTAGACTGGAATAGCTTGATTCGAATGTACCAGTGCCTGTGATTTTGAACCTATGCTGCTTAACTTGGCAAGGCCTATTGATCATTCCAGTGGTACCGTGGAAATAGAGTTGTTTTTAAAAATAAGTAAATATATTAACTGATGTTTTTTTGTGAATGGTTGGTTTCCTCTATTTAAGCATATATCCTGGTAACAGAGTTTTGTTTTGATGTGCCTCACAGTTATGTGATGGATGAACTAGGTTCGGCTTTGCGGCATAGTGATGAACCAAATTTCAGAGTGTCTCCTTTCCTCTACATGCCAGAGGGTAAACTGGCGTCAGCTGTGAGGTTCTCTTTCATAACCATTTGCAACTTTCTTGCTCTAGTAGCCATTATGACTAGTATTCCTTTATTGTGGACAGTTGCTATATATTATGATTGCATGAATTTATTTCACTTATCTTTGGAATTTGGAAGATAACTGCTTTCATACTTGGATTCATCCACGTGATCAATTCTAGTGCCTAAATAAATTTGTGCTTGTTTAATGGCTTTTGGAGATGTTCTGTGATTTCATACTGATTCAGCCTTTTTATTAGAGTTAATTATACCCTTTTTTTACCCTCATGGGTAGCTGAGATGACATAAGGTCTACGGGCATGACCTAGAGATCTTGTGTTCAACTCCTGAGGGCTTCATGTCTCCACTTTGGACTTACCTATATACCTGGTTTGGGGTGATTCCGATATCCAAACGGACTAATCATGTGCCTTTAAGGGGGTGGGGAGATCCTCTGTAAAAATAAAAAAGAAAAAGAAAAAAAATTGTCTTTTTTTTCGTCTCTTTTTTGCTTTCAATAGGTTTAATTCAGCTATAACATTTATTTCAAAAACGTTAACTTGAATAAAAATTTCAGCTTTTCAATTCTATGGCCTATCCTAAATGTTAAAGAAGGCGACGAGTGCACTCGTGATTTTCTATTTGGTATTGGGGAGGAGAAACAACGTTCTGCCAGACTTACTGCTTGGTTTCTTACTCCGCAAAATTATTTTATTAAGGTATATATCACCCTTAACTGATTTGAACTTTGTCCATTATCTTTACTTAATTGAATTGTGACCTGTGGTATTCGTATCAATTCTTCAGGAGTACGAGAAATACTGGCAGAAATTGAAAGCAATAAGTTTTTCCTCCCCGCCTGCGAATTCATCTACAACCTATAGTCTGCTTCGCAGTAATGAAAGTGCTTTACGCATTCACTCGGATATACCTCAAGTGGAAGAATTTTTGACTCGTCCTGAATTTATATTCAGTATGTGTAGTGATCCAAATTTGATTCTGAATAAAATTCTGTCATGTTCTTTTCTACTTATTTTGAGATGTTTCATATGCTTTAATGTAATTTATTGATTAATTAATTTTAATATTCAAACTTCATAGATTTTATTTAGTGTGCTCCCTACAACATTCTTGTCTTTTTATCGGTATCATAATTGTTGCAGTTCTGGGCTATAGCTCCCTAAGTCGATCATCTCAGCCTTCTTATTTTTTAAGAATGCTTGGAATGAGAAGGATATACTAGAGAGGCGATACCCCCACCCCACCACCACCACCACCACCACCACCCACCCCAAAAAAAAAAAAACACAATTATCTAATCAAAGTATATTCTCTAGTGATTGCACCCCCTTCGCTTACAAGCCGGCCTCTGGATTGGCCTAATTAAAAATCCAAGAGAGAATTATATTTGTCTCTATCTCAATTTTGTTAAAGGTAAAATCTTTTGGTGTTATTGGGTTAGAAGAATTCCTCATTATCAGTTTAATTCTCTTGTAGGTTTCAGTATTATTTATTTTGATGAATTCCTTTTCTGATTTGCTCTGATCGCAGCATCTGACCCAAAAGAGGCAGATATAATATGGACAAGTATGCAGGTGGATGAGGACACGAGAAAGGCTGCAGGACTGACAGATCAACAGTACATAAATCAATTTCCATTTGAGGCTTGTCTTGTCATGAAACATCATTTGGCAGAAACTGTTCAGAAGGTGAAGATAGCCCAGTCATTCAAATTGCACAAATGTGATGTCAATAGTCAGCATCTATGGTTTATATTCTTATGAGCTTTTCCAAGAGGAGGTTAATTTTGAATTTAATTCTCTACAGGCACATGGATCTCCTGAATGGTTTCAGCCTACTTATAATCTTGAAACGCATCTGACACAGCTTATTGGTGACTATTATATACGCAACAAGGATGGGCTAGACAATTTATGGATCTTAAAACCGTGGAACATGGCAAGAACTATCGATACTACTGTAACTGGTGATTTATCTGCTATTATCCGTCTCATGGAGACCGGTCCAAAAATATGTCAGAAATATATTGACCACCCTGCTTTATTCCAAGGAAGGAAATTTGATCTCCGTTACATTGTTCTTGTTCGCAGCATGAGCCCCTTGGAAATATTCCTTGCTGACGTTTTTTGGGTATGTCTATACCTCTTTGATGTAAACTTATGCGCCCATTACTATGTCTGAGAACAGCCAAGGAAAAACTCAAAAGAATGATGATAATAGTGATTTATAATGCTAACAAAAATAATAACTACTTTATTTAAGATGCCATATTAAAGTTGTAATTTCATTTGTCTTTCAGGTTCGATTGGCAAACAATGCATATTCTTTAGACAAGCGTAGTTTTTTTGAGTATGAGACTCATTTTACTGTTATGGTAAGTTCTAAGCACCATTTTTTGGACTTTTCTGGTTGCTAACCTGCCCAAGTTTTCAGACAGAATTTCTGGAAGATTCATTGATGGTCACCCAGTGAGTTTAGAGGTTCTGCCATCGAGATAAAATAGAAATTGGGAAATTAGGGCTATTCTTTTCATTGGGAAAGCATGTTTTCACTCTTTTGGAGCAAATGTCGAATTGACCCTTTTAATCTCTCGTGTCATGCAGAACTACAGGGGTAGACTGAATCACATGAGCACACCAAAATTTGTTAGGGAATTTGAAGAGGAACATCAAGGTATAGGGGCCTTGTTGTCTTATACTTCACTTGTATTCCCATTAAAGAGTTGGATTGTAGTCAGGAAAATAAAAAACAGACATGCATTCGTAAAGTTGTGGCACATTGGTCGCACTGTTGGATCAGTTATTAACGCAAATTTCTTGTATTTGTTGCAGTTAAATGGTCGGATATCCACCTGAGAGTTACAAATATGATCAGATCGGTTTTCGAGTCAGCTGCGGTAGTGCATCCAGAAATGCATAGTCCAATGTCTAGGGCCATGTATGGTGTGGATGTCATGCTTGATTGCCATTTCCTGCCGAAGTTACTGGAGGTGCGTAACTACACAACATTTCCTTTGCTATTCTAATAGCAGAAATAACACAATTCAGTATTAACTCAAAAATTTTTGTCAAACTATCTGGAATTTCAATGTTTCCTTTTTACTCTCTTTAGTTGTCATTACTATTTTTCGGATAGTGCTACTGTGCTTTTGTCAATCTGAGGACATGCTCAGCTTCTTTCTCATCCATTGTTGTATTGCCTGCAAGTGTAGGTCACCTACTGTCCTGATTGTACTAGAGCCTGCAAGTATGATACAGAAGCCATATTTAAAGGAGAAACTGTCAGGGGTATCGACTTCTACAATTACGTGTTTGGTTGTCTCTTTTTAAATGAAACTACTCATGTATCCCCATTGTAACTGGGACTTAAAGAAGAATTTGTAGTCATTTGCTATTGTTCTTTGGCATTAAGGTTTGATATGTGATATGATTGAAGGCTCATTGTTCCTTTTAAGGCTTCTTGTCGACTTGTCTATTTCTGGTTATCAGAAATGAAAGAACAGACAACGGCCATCTTACCAATCCCTTTCGTTTGCATATTTAATTATTTTTTAAAATTTTGTAAAAAAGGAGGCTTATAGTCTAAATCAATTATTATTTTTTAACTGTAAAAAAAGTTCTGATCCACTTTGTAAACTGAAATCAATCGGATATAGACAATCTCACACACACTGACCGAGTCTTTTATCAAGTTTGTTCAAATTTTTCTGTATTGTTCTTGTTTTCAACATTGATATTTTACTTGTCTAGTTTCTTTTTCTGTCATATTCAGAATATACATCTCTGGGTTTGAGACAGGATGTATTCTTGTTGGCAAAGGTTAAGCCCTACCTGCACTTGGGTACCGATCCATTATTTAACCCAACTTAGCTGGGGAGCGGGGACCAATAAATTCCATCTAAGAAGAAAAAATTTCATAAACTGATTGATTTGTGCATTTCACTATATATTCTTGTAGTGCGAATGTGAAATTGCTTGTCCCAGCCATGAAAAACAGAAGAAAAAGAACATGAGAATGAATGATACAGAGAGCCAATGGTGACAGTTTACAGAGTACTGCTAATTCCACCATGCTACGGCATTTCGGCTGATTCAGGTGTTGGTTGATTTTTAGTCATTGACATCTTCTTTTGCAGTTCCAAATTTGACATCCGTTCAACCTCCAATGCTCGCTCAAGCTTTTAACCATCCATCAAGGAGTATTAGCACAATCATTTTTATAGAAAGAAAAATGAATCCACAAGTGAGACAATAAATCTGAAGCTGATACAGTGTCATCAGAAAAATGGTACCTTTGCTGCTCGGGTACTCCATTCTCCTAGTATAGCCCTCAGCCTTTCATTCTCTTCAACATACTGCCCCGATGATTACATAAAAAATTGTAAAAGATGATTTTATTAACTGACAATTTTATTTGATCTATAGATGCTACAAATAATTTTTTTTAAGGGCAATAGAATGCTCAAAGAACTCGCGGGGGTTTGACTCTTCTTTAGGTAGAAACACTAGAAGAACAAAGCAGGTGTAGGTGTAGGATTAATACAGAATAGATTTGCTCAAAAAGTGCGGAATCAAACAAAATATTGGTTCCTTCAAGTGTTCTTACAGAAACAAGAATCAATGAAAATGACGTTATGCTTGAAGGGAGACCTTTTTAGTACTTTATTTCTCTGTTTTTTTTTTTGGTGGTTTTTTTTGGGGGGGGGGGGGTGTTGTCGGTGGCGGTGGTTGCAAGATTAGTAATATATCAAACATAGAATATTCATGACAAATTAAAGACATATCTATTTAGTAATACCTGATTGTTAGTAGTGCGAACGCACTGGATCTCAGAGTCTCTCTCGGCAATCAAAGATCGAGCAAGACTTAGCTCAGATTGCAGTTGATTCATCTGAAAAATGAAAATCTTTTCTCAATAGCTCATGGAAAAATTAATATCCTCAAGACTGTACGCTTGAGCATATATATTAGATTTTAAATCTGCAATAAGTTACCAACAGGCCAATAGCCTAGCGGTACCAGACCCCTACTTCCCAAAGGGAGGTTAGGAGTTCGAGCCTCAGTGGAGGCATGTGTGCGTAACTATGAAAAAAACGGTTATGTAAAAATGAACTTCATGATCCAATGGGCTCCAAGTTCACAATTATGTAACCGAAAAAATCGAGTCGATACTTGATGCTATAAACCTGTGCTTGGGGACACCTAAGTTCAGATCAGAACAATTGGATGCCAACCAGAACTAAACCATGCTAGGTCAGTTTTCAAAAATGCCTTGTCAGCACCAGTTTATGGGCATTTTTTTACATTCAATTTTACCTGCGACCATGTCCTCAATTAAATCATTGATTACCATGTCTTTTCTTGCACCTCAACTCATGTCTATTTCGACCCTCTCTCTTGCTCATATAGTACCACATGAAAAAAATCACTCCTTACTGGTGCATTCGTTGCTTCTTTGTTCCTCTTTAAACTATAATTTTTTTTTTGATAAGTAACCTCTTTAAACTAGAAATTGCCCCCAATGAAAAGTAGTGACCCCATGGCAATACCGAGAACAATAAAAACTGGATAGTCTAGGACCACAAATATGGTGCAAAAACAAAATCTAGCAAAAGAAGTAGGGACGATAAGGCAAAAGTGAACTATCAGGATTGTAGTGAACTTCGTATTCGTCTATCCTATAAATTGGCAAGGACATACATCATGAATATAATTGCCAACAAAGCATTGTTAAAGCGGCCCAGGTGCTGTGTTATATGCAACGAGTATTACCTCAGCTGAAAGTGTTCGTAGTTCCTGATCACGCGCAGCTAAAAGGTGGGCAAGATCAACCTGCAAAAGGATCCAGTAGAAACTATTACTCTCGAACTATTTCCATGCAACTATTCCAACTCAGCAATAACAAGACCCACTAATTTACAGTACATTATTTGAAGAAACACAAAAAGAACAGGACATGATTCACAAAAGGAACAGGACATCGTCATTGGGATCTGATGCCTATACTACCTCATTTCATGACAGACCAACATTCAACTGCCCAATTTAATTTTATCTATTTTTTATTTTAAAAAAAAGAGGAAGGAACCTGCACATTGTTCTAGAAAATAATATGGGACAAAATACATGTCAAACAGAAGATCTGTTGAGATTTCCTAAGCAGAATGGTGAAGTTTGAGTCACCATAAGAATTGATTTCCCAGCCCACTAAAATGCTCCATTGAGATTGGTTTCCTAGAGCAAGTGTCATGACTGAATTCAGTCTTCTCTAAATCAAATAAGGGGGATAGAGAAGAATTAAGAGAACAAGAAATCTGGATCAAATTGCACATCAAACATTCCTGGATCAAAATTACATGATAACATATATTAAAAAAACATTCTTTGACAAGGATGATCAATACCTGAGGCGTACTCCCATCATTAGACCGTTCGTATTTGCTTAAGCATTCTTGCAATCGAAGTATCTACAAAGAATTCACGAGGTTTGCAAATCAGTCAGAGATTTGTATAATCAGAGTTTTATCACTTAATGGACTAATTCTGCATATTCTAATTGCACACTGTTGTGTACAACCAATCTTGTGGGGAGTCACTCCTGAAGCAACTGTAAGTTACAAACCACAGTGGTGTACGGCCATCATGAATCACAATATCATCATATACCTCCTCACTCAGAAAATGAAGGTTTTCCCGCTGATACTGCAACAACGCCATTTGCTGATCAGAGAGCCGACCACCATCATGATACCTGTTACACCAAACAATTCTCAGTATTGCATTGAGAATATTGGTATTTGGTTTTTCTGATTTTTATAGCTGATTCATAAAAAATAAATTGAGGGAAAATAATTTATAATTCAAATCTTTTTAAGTTCAAAGATATTTGGGAGTTCCAATATCTCACCCTCCTTTTGCCGACAATATCCCCGTGAAACTAGATACAATGACAGGAATAAATGAATTTGTGCAGCTGACTCTAAAAGAGGCGGGTGGGTTTCTTATTCTTATTTTCTTTCTAGGGACAATGCATGACAAATAAAGATCACCAAGAAATGATGAGATATTGTAGCGTGCATTCTCATGCACAAAAATTTCTGGATGATTTGTCAATTGAGAGGAATTGTACTACTATATATGAATTTAGATGTCATAATGAACAGTGAACATCTAAAACTTGCCTAAAATTACTCTTCAACTTACTGGACCTTTATAAAAGAATTCAGGAATATATTTAGTAAAATAAATATCCTAGTAATATAGTAAGAAGTTGTGCCTTCAATGTATGTCGGGAGTTCCAACTAGCAAAATGCGCTATCTGTGAAATATTAGACTCAAAATAAATTGAACTATGATGTTTATCTCAATTTAATATATTGACAAGAGCACGGAAGTCAAAAATTGATTCACAGAAAGTTGAAACTGTTCCTTAAGAATAAAATAATCGATTTAATAAATAAATAACTACCTCAATCCTTCCAACGAACTTGATGGTTGAAGTGGAGAATATAGTGACTTCAAAACATCAGGTTGAGAATCCAATGAATTGTACTGGTGCACATAACCTGCAAGCACCAACATACCACTGATTTATATGAGGGAATAAATGGCAACAATTACCTTCCGAAAAAAAATAATAAATGGCAACAATTTGGCATTGAATCTCCAATACAACACAGTTTAAGAGCTCAGATTGTTTATGAAGGAGATTTAAATGTGACAGATCTCATGAAAATTCAATATAAGCTCAACAGAAAAACATCTCAATATTCTTACTTTCTATGACACAGTAAAAGCTTTTTGTCTTTTATTGACTGATTTATGTTTTGGATTCCATTCTCTCAATGCTATGATTTGACGTTTCACAGTGTCTTAGCATGATAAAGTGGTATCCATTGGTGCAAATATGGGACATCAATTATCCACAACCCTATTTTAAACTTGTAATGGATTTCACCAGCCATGATTACCAACACTATTCTTCCACCAATGGAAAATATTCCTTATTAGAAATGAGGGAAATTGGTGTCCTACTGATTTATCACTTACCATAACAAAAATGTTACAAATTTACTTGTAAACGCCACAAGCCACACAGACAGTAGCTGGAAAGTAGACATGTCAAAACCAGAAAAATTGTCTCCAACAACCATGGTAAACAAAAGGTCATTTTCTTCTCTCCCAGGGAAGGAAATGAGAAACACAGTCAAGCTGGAGCTTGGAGACTCAATTCCAAGACTGTAATACAATGCCTAAAAAGGTAACAAAACTCAAAGCACATGCAACCACAGGGTATAAATAACCTGAAATGACTTCTATAAATCCGTCAGGGTATAAATGCAACAAGAAGCTTCACCAGATAAAAACCACTTCTCTTGTGGATCATAACTCTCATCTCCCCCCCCCCCCCCCCCCCCCCCCCCCCCGCCCGGGGGGGGCGGATTATATGAAACCATCCTTACTATTTATTTTTATTCCTTACATACTTTGCTACATAAATGACATTTGGGGCTTAGGGTTTCTGTCTTGGATATAGATTCTCCTTTCTCTCTGATTCTCACTTAATCGTTAGCCTACATGTCCCACATTACTTCATCTTAGCAGTTGTGCGAATATCTTTATGACCTCCCATGATACAACATCATTTCGACTCCTTACCCCGGTTCATTTTGTTTGTTCTTCCGTCCTTTTTTTGATAATAAAATTCCCATCAATCTCCCTTTATAATTACCGATCTTCTCTCTCAGCATTGTAATTGCTGTTGTCATCATCATCATATCGTTCTTCAAAATTTTCAACTTTCAGTCGTATATATAGATACAACAAGACATATATAAGATGAGATGGGGTGAAATACAAGAATGCGGTGAGAAGAGATAAATGAGGTCAGAAATAAATAAGATTTTGGGGCAGGGGGGTTACTGGAAGTTCCTCCTAGGTAGGTCAGAGTTGATATAGTTGGGACTGTCTATATCCGCTCTGTTTTTTTTTTCCTAGTTGGGACTCACACACACTTGTCTCCTCTGAGACTTGAACCCCTGACCTAGGCTGATACCGCTAGGCCACTGGCCCGTTGGTATTTGGGACTATCTATACCCGCTCTGTTGTCATCCCTTTCCATTCTTGTCCTTTTAAACACACCAGTAAAGGCATAAGAGAGCTGCTTGCCGCATCTGCCTAATATTCTTCATCAATTCCCCACATGTCAATACCACAAGACTTTTGTGGCTTTACCTGGAATAACACATATATTCAAGAAGGCGAAAAGAAAAGTACCTAAGCTGCCAAACCATCGAGCAGTATAGCAAAAGATGATTTTTGGTCTCTTCAACCCCCTTACACATACAACATAGTTTTCTTCACAGTAGATTATCAAGCATGAAGATCCTTGTGTTGGTCGCAATCTAAGCGGACCAAGTTCATGTGCGCTCTTATTATAGGGCTAATTCATACTAATATAGAGTAATTTTTAGCATGTGTCAGAAAGAACTGTGACATCAAACACCTAAGGCTTCTTCAACAGACAGAAAGATACTTCTAAACTACCAAACAGAACAGATTGCACCAATTCTAATCTTCAATATCTCCCAGGTATTAATGTAAACTCACCTATGTAAACACTCATAAAAAACCCAGCAAATATTACTTCAACCAGCATAATAATCCTGCATAATTAAGAGGCCAGCAAGAAATTGTAAGCAAACCATGCTTCGGCAAAGTAAAAAAACAAGATAAATATTGGACTTGGACACTGGCAAAATTTAGAGCAGTAGCTTAGATTTCAATACCTATTTGACTAAAATTAACTAAACAGATACAGCAAAAGTTATCAAGATCCATTACCATTATAAATATTGAGGACTCAAACTAAGAGATGAAGAAAAAAGAATGAGATAAATCATCAACACACACACACACACATATTATTGAACTTTAAAAACCATCTTAAGAGGAAATATTAATTGATAAGCAAAGATAATGAAAATAATCTCTTTTCTGATATTATGACAGTTAGAATTGTAATTATTAGCCAGACGGAAATATTCAGTACCAGAAGATTTTCATAGTATGAAGTACATATTTTCAAGTTATTAATGAATGTTCCTAGTTTACATTCTTTATGGTACAGCCTTTTTACTTCATATAAAGAAGTGCCTCACCAACCATCAAAAAACCCGGATGACAAAAATGGGCATGGCAGCATATGACCACCATTTTAGTAAACTATAATTTTTTACAGGCAGGAGAAACAGGCTTGGATTTAGAGCCAATTTCATGATAATGCACAGGAAACAACCTTAAACATTGATACTGATCCACCCCTAACCAAACTACTGTCATCAGTTAGCTGGATCCAGATTCCAAATACTTCTCTGTTTAAGGATTCAGAAAATGCCATAGAAGCTGTCAAACTCAGTACACAATCAAGATAAAACTTCAAACAAACCTCTGTCCAACTAAACTAAAAGATTCTTTTTGATTGATTTAAATAAAAACTAAACTATATGAATCTGACACTGAATGATTTTTTTATTTTTTTATGTACTCCTCAAACATTTGCTTTCTTTTGACTGAACTGTGATTCCGGATGTGTTGAGATTCAAGCTGTGAAATTTCAAAGTTCTCAGAGGAGAAAGAACTTCTCAATCAACTCCAACCACGATTTTGAAATATGACCAAACTCTATCTTGTGGAATAGTCAATGGATTCAGATTGATAACTTTTTCCTTCGTGATTAGTAAGAAAATAAAGCATGGTGAGACCTAGTAAAGAGAAACCTTTCAGAATAATATTTCAGTTATTTCCTTCATTCTCAAAGCCTTACTTGAACAATAATGTTCATTACCTTAGTAGCAAAACAATTTGGAACAAAGCATATACAAATACTTCCATGACTAATTCGATAAGGGCTAGCCCAGTACACGAGGCTCCTGCCAATGCGGGGTCTGGGGAAGGTCAGATGTACGCCACCTTACCCCCGCATGCAGCGAGGCTGTTTCCGTGATTCGAAACCATGACCTCCTCCAGGTCACAATGGAGCAACCTCACTGTTGTACCAAGGCTCACCCTCCTTCCATGGCTAATTATATGATTCATTGAATAATCACATATCAATATTAATATAACTATATCTTACTATGCCTACAAAAGCTTTAGCCAAAACAAACAGTATTAAACTTATGTTGCCAAAATATTAGCAATTTAGAACTACATAACAATGCATTAGTAAGAAAATGATTGCAGAAAAAAGTAAAAGGAAAAATGATTTTCACAGCCTGTAAAATCATAAAGTGAATGGCAAGGCAATAAATCATAGTGAAATGGAAGTGCACGTAACAAGTCAAGCCGGATTATTTAATGCTCAGCGTATTACGTATGTGGTTTGTATACCTGAGCAACGCAGAGATAGAAAAAATACTAATATGGGGTTTCCAGACCATGACAAGCAGCATTGCAGCAGTTCCTGGCAATTGGCATTGAACAGATAAATTTGAATAAGGACTACTATCAAAGACAAAGAAGTTCATCAATAAATTATAACTTTGTAGTAGAGAATATGTACAAGCATGAGAATTAAGGCAACACAAAGACAATAGCTAACCAATGTATTAAGTAAATTCCATTATCTCTCATTTTCAGCTGTGCAATATTTCACAGGAAGTTAGCTGGGGGACAATGAATGAATAGTATCACCATAACCTTAAACTATTAGAAAGAAATATAAAACAAATTTAAGTATAAAGCACAAAAGAATGGTAAGTAATTCAATGAGTAATGGCACATTAATCAATGAGAGGGTGGGAACAAGTGAATGGATAATCTCCAAGGACTAAGATATTGAACAAAAAGTTAGGATTCATGAGGATATGATTGTCAAACCTTAAATTACATAGCATCATATTTCCAAGGAGACCACAGACGGACCCAGATGGTTGCAGATGTCATTTAGCAAATGATGTGACTTGTATTTAAGAGAACCTTAGGTTGTTTGCTCATCAAGGAAATTTTATAATTCCATTTTTCAAGAAATAGATTTTCCTGCACAAGTATAACCATTTTTTATATATAGAAGTTTTACAGCTGTTTACTGCAAAATCAATTTTCTCATCTCTTCCAAGCTAAAGGAAGACTTCAGCTATGTCATTATCATGGAAGCTTTTAGAGTATTAGAGTTAGATACTGGAGGTGGTCCAGACAGCTTGCTTGGCTTCTATTAATGGGTCTTATTGCTTGGCACTGGTGACGTTTGATTTTCTCCCTTTTGTATAGCTTTATTTTTTTGCTTCCTTACTCCCCACCCCCAGCTGGGATGGAAGGACAAAAATACATCAAGGAACAAGTTCAAGGGGCAATGGCAACCCGAAACTCAGAGAAAGACAAGGCTGATATGCCATTTTGAACAACTGTGAACCTCCAAATTAATGACTAGCCCCCCCTAAATATTTTTGAATGTGCACTATTGCTCCCCCTCTCTAATTTACTTACTTTCTCCTCTTGTCAATCTGACTTTAGTGATAACATCGTTCCATCCCCAACTAGCTTTTCACATATATAAAATCTATCTTCTTCCCATAAGAAAAATCAATAATAACCAAAATAAAAGAATGTCATTTTCTTTGACTTACTCCCTCCCCCAAAAGATTGACTTTCTTCTAGTAATACCTCCTTTAACACAAGTATATATGGCTTTCTCTCTGAAATTGACTTCTAGTATGAAAATTTAAAAGTAAATTTTATGAATATAATATTTTATCAAATAATAGCAACGATAATAATAATAACTTCTATAAATAACATCCCCGTAGAAGTTCATTTTCTTGTTACAAGAACTCAAATGATGTTAAATATATCTATCTTGAATTTAGAAAATAATACAATCATATTGAAACGACCAAATAAATGGTCGAGTCAAGAGTGTACCATGTTTTTTTTTTTTTTTTTTTTTTGATAGTTAAGAACACACACTGTTGCCCCATAAAGGACTGGAAAACTTGAACCCTCACACCTCTCATGTGGGAGGAGGGGATTTGAACCCCCAAACTCCCATGTGGGTTTTTTGGTTTGCAACGAATAAAAGATTTCATGCTTCTTAAACTTCCAAAAAGAGAAATTATAGCACCAAATTTTTAGTAAAAGGAATAAATAAATAAATAAAATGACTAAATTAAGAGGCATTCTTAGGAATCATGTTCAATAGTCCTAGCAAAAGTTTTATGTTGGTTGTCAAGCTACCTATGCGACCATCATCTTTAGATAGAAAGGAGTCATGAAATAAAATTCATTTAACTGACTTGAAATAGTTGGAAAAAAAACCTTTGTTGAGCTAACTTGAGCACTATGAGACACTAATTGAAGACTTTATGTAAGCACATAATAAGCACATTTATTAGCACTCACCAACTCTCAACCCCTCAAATGAAAACTTTCTAGGTTCACCCTTGACTACAGACTACATAAGTTTGTAAGCTTAATTAGCTATGTCCAATTCCAACCATACTTTGAAATAATTCAAACACCATCACATAATTAAGAAAAGAACTTAAACAATAAGAAACATATTTATGTGGGAAAGACAACAAATAACAAAACTTAAAAAAAAGAAGTAATAACAATAAAAATAATAAAAAAAACACGTACCATAGGCAGTTGTGGCAAATGGTAATCGGATAATATGCTTCAACTTCTGACTGAAAATGTAGTAACCCTACAAAATGAATGTGCATTTTATGGTTCTAAACTAAATAGATTATCAGTTATGAAGCTAAAGCATTATACAATAAGAAAAGCAGTCAACAATCGAAGTAACTAAAATATTGGTAAAAAAATCAGTTTTTTTTTTCTTTCATATCTATGATAATTTTTTTTTTATTTTTTATTTTTTTATTTATTTTTTTATTTTTTATTATTTATAAGTAGCCTTCTCAGCATCACAAATTAATGGCTTTGAGAAGGAAATTAAACCATTTACAAACTACAATACACTTCGAAAGGAGTGACATTAATTTTATGGGTTGACTAATTCACAACAGCACACTCAAGTAATTTAAAGCCTAAAAATCCTCATATTAAGTTCAAGGACGATGAAATAAAATACCAAAATATACCTATTACTAACCAATATACATATATGATGCCCATTAGAAATTCATATAATGTAAAAATATTCACACAAACAAGACAAATTCAGTACAGCATTATACAAATAAATATTACTTCTCAAAAAAAAAAAAATTATACAAATAAATATCAAAACCATATGAACAAATTTAACATTTGTAAAGTGTACATTAGGAGAATAAAATGAAGTGCATATGCTTTGTGAGAAGAAAAAAAAAAACCGATAACTAAAAGCTCAACAAAGAATAGATATCAATTAAAGAATTAATTAGAATAACCTGCAATCGAATTTTCTGGACTTGGTAGACCAGGTATTGCTGGAAGATGCCTGGAAATATAAGAAGAATAATGAAGATTCCATGTTTAAATCATTTTACTCACCAATAGAAAATTGAGCAAATGGTCACGGAATATTTGAATTATAAAGTGAAACTCTGTTGTGCAAATAAGAATACACTCCAAGTTCAGATCTTAATTTTATCATGATTTCGTGGTTCAATTACAGTACCAAATTCCGTTGGTAAGCTATTCCTTCGGAATATGTGAACCAATGGAACATCATTTTCAGTCCCATAAGCCAGAAGTATCATTATAAAACTACAAAAAGCAATAGTAAGCTTTATACAAAATTCATTCAAGGATATCAAGTTCTATCATTTACCATTCTCGCCTTTCAACTTAGGTTAATCAATACAGTAGTTCGCTAATTTACTTTTGTATTTAAATTGTGGCAACACAAATGAATATTTTACAAAGAAATACTAGGTGAAAATTTGTTGTTAAGAGTTCAGACCCTAAAATTTGGAGACCAAATTTTCAATTTAAAAGTATAGATTAGTCATTTTCATCAAAGTATATAATATTGAGATGCTAATTAATGAAAATGAAATGTATTATTGGTTGTCATCATTAAGAGATTCTGAATTCCACAGAAAAGGTAGAAAGTTTCATAGCTAAAGAATGTTATTCCTTTTAAGTCTTGCAAAAGAAAACATGAAGTGAAAAAAGTGCTTCTCTTGAAATTAAGCAAACAAAAAAGATAAACGATGTTTCCACAAAAGAGGAGTTGCTGACACTTAATGGACCATTTTAGCCTCATAAATGGTCAGCATGATGAGAAACTAGAAGGGAAATGTATTGGAGTCGAGCAACTCATAATTGAACGACATGGGAGAATTAATTACAGAGAGTGTATATGACATGATATTTATGCAAAAAAAACCATTGTTTGTGACAAATAGCATTCATCAGAAAGCAAATCTAACTATGTACAAATGTGGATAATTTGGTAAGAAGACCTGTGACGAATAAAAGAGCGACATCGCAACTGCATAGCATTGGTGAAATTAAACTTTGTATAGGATGAAACATCCACGGAGCTCCAATAGCCAAGATAGCATAACCTGTCTAGAGTTAAAAAAGAAAAAAAATTAAAAATATATATATATATAAAAAAAACCCACTACACTTTGGTTTCAACAATCACGAAGAATTAAAACTTGCCAAATAAATGGAAGTAAATGCACTTGCCAATAAAAAACAGTATAAAATACTCCCGATGATGCTTGTAGGCTTTCGATGACCAAATAATGGAGCCTCATGCAATATATCAAGGAACCTATAGTAGGAAAGGTAGATCCATCATCAATACGACAAGCCAAAAACTGTTTGAAGTATAGAAACAAGGCTTTCTGACACTGAAAAAGGTAGGTGTTCAAAGATGAGATTTAGAAGCTACAAATATATGATCAGAATGATTACATTACAAAATTTAACATTTTATATGCATGTATTTGCATGCATGATGAACAGATAAGCCATCGAACAGGATATTGATAAAGTATAACATGTCAACTAGAAAAAGTTCTCCCTCTTTAAAACACCACTGTGCAGGCTGGAGTTGAGCACACCGCACAAATTAATGAATCAGCTTCTACAAAAATTTCTGCAACTCTACAGAAACTATGGCCCTAGATAAACAAGTCTAAAGAAACAAGATTATTGTTGCTGACCCAAATTAATAAAGAGTTTACTCTGAGGCAGGAGATAGAATGGTGGATATGAGTTCCAAGCCTCCGTTTGTTTTAATGGAAAATTTCCGTGTCTCTGGATAAAGATTCTCCCGGGGCTTATTAAGGAACAGTATAAATTATTGTATATGAATATTTCTTCCAAGTAAATTTTTTCAGGAACCATTTTCTATGCGAACAAACACGGTCGAATGTCATGCCTGAACTGTCCCAACTCTCAAAGAAGAAAAGTTAGTCAAATTCTCTATGCTTTAGTAATTGAAGCCCAAGGGCAACGGAACAAGTTGAGAATGAGCGAAGCACTTTGTTACTACTTCAAAGCCGAAAAAAAAAAAATTGATAAACTACTCAAATAATTCAATCCACACATGAAAACCACCAAATCTGATTTATTGAATTATAAGGCAATACTGAATTCGCAGAACTTCAAAATTGTTTCTACAATTGAACCCCCAGAAAACACACACACAGAGACTAAACTCAACAAAATATATAACTATCAAATTTGAAAATATTCCCCACGTATATCCGTGTATGTGCGTAATATATATATGTGTGTCTCGAAATCTTACAGTCCGTTTTCTTCTGGAGATGCTGTGTTGGTCGAAGCGTGTCTGTCAACCGACATTCTCTTCTTCTAGGGTTTTAGGCTTCCCCCGATTGATTCAAGTTTTCGAAAGATGCTTGGTTTGAAAATGATCATTAGTCTTGTGCAAAACCCTTTTTTTTTCTTTTGCACAAAAGTCTTGTGTAAAATCGTGACACTCCAATTGTAAATGTGTCTTACAGTTAACAGTATTCTACTATTCGCAGAAGTCAAAACGGAGGGTGGAATGGAACAAGCTGAGCTGATCTTGGGCTAAAACTTTCATTGGGCCCACTAAGATACGTAAATTGTGGTCCAGCCCATAACTTCTCAACCTTTTATCATCTTACTACTTTTTGTTGCTTGAATCACTTGGATACTAATTGATACTTAAAATTAAAGGCAATTAAAGGCTAGACCTACCTTTGGTCCTTTACCGAGTAACTCCTGATAATTATCATTCAATATAACATATATTATTATTATTATTATTATTATTTTTTATAAAAAAAAACTATCTTCAATATGTCCAATAAATAGATTAAGTGTTACACATTTGACTAAAGTGTGGAGTCCACAAGATGTCAACTATTTTTATTTTATTTTTTAGTTTATTTTATTTCACCATATGCCGGTGGTATTAGAATTGTTCAGCTTATAAATTTGGCATAAATTGGTGTTTTACTTGTTAAGTTTAGACAACATGAGGGGTAAATTAGGTGACATTATTTAAGACAGACTATACAATTTTGAACGGATTTCGAGAAGTCTTTATTTGTGGTATCATGTACTACCAATCTAGCTATGTACTAATCTTTATGTAATCCAGTATCATATAATACCAATCTAGCTATTATGTAGCAATCCAATGTGATATCACGATGTCAACCTTATGTTTTATATATTACTAGTCATCTATCTAGCTATTATGTACCAATCTATATGTAATCCAAAGATTTTTTTTTACATTGGGCATACCTAAATAAAGATGCTAATCATGCTATCAAATTCATGGTGTCATGCCGATGCTATGCGTGGTGAATGACATAGTGATCTTGGTTAAATTTGAGATGCTGCAAATTTGCAATACTATGTTCAATCTGAAATGTGGTTTTTGGGCTCTGCATGCACTAGTATATATTTCGTCAACGGACAGTGGAAAAAAATTCCTTTGCCTCTTTTGTGAAGAACTTCATTTACTTTGTGAGTAGATTTTAAATTGGTATTTGGCGTATAATGATTCAGTGACAAGGATTGACATTGATCAATGTTTAACATATAGAAACTTCTTTTGATAATTTGTGATGCACAATTGACAGTGTGAGAAAATAGACTTTGCTCAGAAACTGCTCGGTACCGAAATCTGGGAAAATCTCCTGTACATTACATATTTAAAAGAGCATAGCCTAGTAGCACTGGTGCAAATCATTCTATATATATATATATATATATGTATATATATTACTGTTTGTCTCTGATTTCGTAGTTAAGCACTTGCTAGGTGTAAGGAATAAGAGCCTCCGGTGTGGGCAACACAAGTTATCTATCTATTTTTTAAAAAGTAGAGTGTCACGTAAGTTAAAAAGTGATGATGTAGTATTTTATTTTTTTTAATCCATATGTGCCATGGTGTGGAACCCAATTATTTCATTCTCTATTTATTATTTTATTATTTTATCTCATCCATATCTACCTTTTGCTTTTTTCCCTTCAGTTAGATTGATTAAACAAAGGAAACAAAAAATAGAGTGTTCTCCAAAGGCTTCTCTATCTGTGGACAAAGGCTTAGACAATGGTTGTAGGTCCCACAAGATAGATACTCCACTTATCTCATCATACCGTCCACTTCTCTCTCTTAACTGACACAGATATACTCTAAAGAGAGTGTCGCCCGGATGCTCTTTTCAATAATTTTATTTTTGGCATCGTACCTAAAGTGAAGTGGTTTGATTTCTCATAAAGCAATAGAGTGACTATAGACCGATACACATATAGAATTAAGGAAAACCATGAATGTTGATACTTATCAGACTAGACAACCACCAACTTAGATATGATAATCAGACGTAAACATACAGATACAATGTACTAACCATTTTTATTATTATATCGTGAGATAGTAGTGGAGGAACATACATTCACTTCACTTGCCAACCTTGTGATTAGCAGCCCCATCCTTGGCGGAGGTATAACAAATATTTTTATGACAGATAGCAGATGGCATGGGATCCAATGTTTCAAGAAAATACATTAATTCACATGTTTGGGGTTATCATTGTATATTCCTTTGTAAATTAAATGGAATACTAAAATAATATTAATTAATAAAAAAGAAAAAGAAGCAGCAAAAAGAACAGAGTGATATGGTGCTATATGCCAATAATGGAAGGAAAAGAAATGGACAGACTGATCATTCATCATTAGATATAAGATAGAGAGTACATGGACCATAATTTATTATCAAGGCCGTACAAATATATTATATGACAGAACAATTATCACATTGGGAACTGATATAGATGAACTGGGAGCCTAGGCCGCATCTCTGCGACAAGTGGGACCTTTCGCGGTGTTGCCAGTCCAAAAACTTCCTCCATGTTTAAATCTTCTATCTTCATATTCCCAGGTAAATTCCAATCGAATCCTTGCAGCATATTCGCCAAGCTTGTCCGAATCATCTTTAGTCCAAGGCTGTATCCGGGGCACATCCTCCTCCCTGATCCAAATGGCAATAGCTCAAAATTCTGTCCCTTCACATCAATTGCTTTCCCTAAGAACCTCTCTGGACGGAACTCTTCCGGTGCATCCCATAGTTTAGGGTCCCTCCCTATACTCCATGTGTTTATGAAAATTCTAGTCCCTTTATGGATAAAGTAACCGCCCACATTGCAGTCTTCAAGGGCTAAATGTGGTGCCAGCATTACCGCCACTGGATGTAGCCTCATTGTCTCCTTCACGATTGCATCTATGTAACAAAGCTCTGGAATATCTCTCTCTTCCACCCATCTGTCTCTTCCGATCACTCTATCAAGCTCTTTGGTTGCCTTCTTAATTATGTGTGGCTGTTTCAAGAGTTCAGACATTGCCCATTCCACAGTAGTTGCTGAGGTGTCTGTTCCACCAGCTATTAGGTCCTGATAATGATCAGTGAACAAAAGAACTTGTCACTGCATTGCATTTCAATGTTTCTCCAAATTCATACATAAATTGGAACTATTGACAATGGTTGCACTTTGTGATTCTGCTGAGACTCACATTATAACTTCAAAAATAATCGTAAATTCAGCTTGTAAAACAGAAAATATTGCAAAGGAAAGCAATCCTACCTGCGTAAACCCCTTGACACCGTCACTGGTGAGCTTAACCTCGAGATCGGGATCATCAGCAAGCTGCAACAAGAAGTCCACCATATCCTTGGCCACAAAATCCTTGTCTGCTTCCTTCCTTGCCTTGTGTTCACCAAGCACATGGTCATGAAACCTGTCAAACTTCTTACACAAAGTTTTCATTCGCTTAACGTAGCCCTGCAAGTCCAGGAAGTCAATCCAAGGTATCCAATCTCCAATATTCAGCACACCATTAAGCAAGAACAACTCATCTAACATCTCCTGGAATTCTTCAAGCGTCACAATTGATTTCTCGTATTCTGATTCACTAAAGTACTTCTTGCCCAATACTATTCTGCTTATAATGCTAAGCGTGACACGTGAGAGATGATCTTTGAGCAGAACAGGCTTTCCTGACAATGCATATAGACGGGAGATGAAAGCCTGCCTTTCCTCGACGCGAATGTACTCATAGGACTCTAATCTTTTCGAGCTGAATAGCTCTGTGAGGTAAATTTTTCGGCCCTGGCGCCAATATGGTCCATAAGGAGCCCATGTTATGTTGCAGTAGTTGTAAGTGGTGTACTTGCCAGCAGCAGTTGGAGGGCGAGAGGCAAAGATGTGGTCATGTGTCTTTAGGAATTGCTTTGCCATTTCAGAGGAAGAAGCAACTACAACTGGGTAAGAACCAAACTTAAGTTGCATTAATTGGCCATATTGCTTGGCCAACTTGTGGAGGGACTGGTGGGGGAGGGGACCGATGAGGTTTAGGTTGCCAATAATCGGCCAAGGTTTGGGACCCGGTGGAAAATTATGTTTCTGTTGGCGGAAGTTGAGGACTTTTGAAAGTATGGCCAATGCAGCTAGCCATGCCAGTGCTAAAACAGCCAAAGAAACCTCCATGGTTGAAGAGATTGCATAGACTCCTAGCTTGTGTGGTTTGAGAGAGTAGGAGGAGATGGGGTATTTATAATTTAATGAACTAGTGATGACACTAGTTTGATACAAATATTTTTTGAGTAGTGATACATTTACCGAACCTAACAATCAAAAAATTCACCAAATCCAACGTGGCATATCCACGTAATATGACAAAAACGATTTCTCCTCTCTCCTCTTCATTTAGGACTCTCTTGCTCTCTAGACTCCGGTCGATTTGTCCTCTCTGATCATTACTCTTTTCTCTCCGATCTAGCATCTTAATTTCTTGCACCCCTTTTTCTATCTAAATTTGAATTTATAAGCCACCGTTCTAAAAAAGAAAAAAAAAAAAGAGAAAAAAATCTTAATTTTTAAGCCCTAATTTTCTTAGTTCTAGTATTAATTTTCTCTCTTTTTTATTTTTATATTATTTTATATATTCTTGTTAGCCATTTGCAGTGATATTAACGTACAACTATTTTCTGTTGTATTGAATTTGTGCCATCAATTTTTGTCTCTCGGTGTAAATTCTGTAAATCTAAGGAATAAAAGTTTGCTAATAAGTGTAGGTAGCAGACATTGACAAGGCTATAAGTTATCTCAACCACCTAAGCATTCAACTAAGACTTTGATCCGAATTAGAAGAATTATGGACCTCAACCACCTAAGTACCTCTAACTCTTTACTGATATATTTCTTGGTTCAAAAAGAGGGAATGAAAAAGAAAAAAGAAAAAAAAACAGGGTATAATCAACGTCGGTCTCTATAGAAGAAGAATCCAATAAGTTACTAGCCTGCAACATGTTTGTCCAGCATATTATTTCCATATTCTGTAAGTCAGATTAGGGCAAAGAAAATTAGGGCTTATAAATTTAGAGTCCCAAACAGAGATGCCAAATCAAAGAGCATGAGAGCCAGAAATCGAACAGAGAAAAATAATAATCGATGAATGAAAGGAAATTTCGACGAGAGAGCGAGTAAGTCCCTAGCGAAGAGGAAGAAAGAGAAGATAAATTGTTTTAGCTTTCCAGGAATTTTTAATCTCTCGCTTGAATGAGTTTAAATGAATTACGTGGCTATGCCATGTAGGATTCGATGATTATTTCGGCTGTTTAGTTCGGTAAATATATCATTATTCTTTTTGAATTGTGTATTTGAATATTTAGGGAACTAGAAAAAAAATATGACTAGTGATACATTTACTGAACGTAACCACCGAAAAAAATCACCGAATCCAATGTGGCTATGCCACGTAATAGGAGAGGCTAACGATTTCTGTAATACCCCTAATTTTAAAAGGATAGTTATGGAATTTAATTATTGTATTTAATTGCGTTTTATTAAGTTAATTGTTTTAATTGCCTGTTTATTTGTTTTTATCTGTTTAATTGCTCATTTTATTGTATTAATTGTTTTTGTTTTAATTGGTAAATTAAAATGTATTTTTGGTTTGTTTTATTCATTGAATTGTATTGTTAAGTTTTTATTATTTACGTGCCTATGTGGGTCTGCATTTAAATGTTATTTGTGGTTGTATTATTAGCGTTTATTTTACACGCCGACAATAGTCAGGGAGTGGATTTTAGGGATGGTTTTATATTAGAATTAGGATTGTGGTGTGAAGCCTATATATATACATATTATACGTTGGTTTAGGGTTACAAACAAAACCCTAGTCACCATAGTCACGTCTGTGAAACAGAAAGATACACAGAGAGCAGCAGAGTATGAGATCTTTGAAGGTTTAATAGAGAGGTTCAAGGAGAAGGGAACGGGGTTGCTTCTGGATTGAACCAAAAGTGCCGGAGGTGTAGAACTGTAGTCGACAACGTTGACGGAGAACTCAGAGACGGTGGTTTACAGTTTCAAAATCTGAAATTGCAGACAAGTGTCTGTTCTTCTCTTTCCCGTTAATTCGTATTCTGTGCATGCCTAGTTGGACTCCAGGGATTTAAATAAAGATTAAACGGACTTAAATAAAAGTAATAACAAGTCTTTTATGCATATATGATTTTTATTTAGTCTCGTTGATAATCTGGTTTGCCTAATCCTTGAAGTTTCTATTATTTGTTTCGTTTCGGTGTTTATGTTAAGCTTTGATTAAATAGGGATCCTGATTATGTATTGAGGACTAGACATTAATCTGCGGTTAAGATTAAACTCTGAAATAAGTATTAAAAACAGTATTCAATTTTCACATAAGAAATCTGTTTTGAAACGCTTAAGTTTATAACTGAGATTCTGTAATCGTTGCTTTAAAAGGTTGTGTTCAATACATGTTATGGTAGGATGTCAGTGGTTTAAGATGTACCTAGGACTGAGGTTGAACCTAGAACAAGGATTTAAAACCACCACAGAGGCTCTGTTAATCATCGGAGTTGGAGAAGAAGACGCAGAAACGGACGACGGCATCTAAGGGAGGAAGAGCAGGCTCTTCCTACTCTTAGAGCCGGCTCCCAAAGGGTGGGGAGCCGGCTCTTGCAACTCTAGAGCCGGCTCTTGGAGCCTAGAGCCGGCTCTCCCTTTAAATAGAGCAGGCTCTCAAATGTTAGAACCTGCTCTTGCCCAGTTTTACATACAGTATGTTGTTTTGGGCGTGGGTTTGGACTATACAGTGTATTGGCATGGTTTTTAAACTGTTTTAAATGTGGTTTGAGATTGTAATATATCTATAATACTTTGGAAGACATTAATTCCCAACTGGACTAAGAAAAGAATCAGGATGAACCTATGTATGTATATATATTGATGCATACTTTGGAGGATGGATGTTGATTATATAGTGTGGTTTTATTAATTACGCAGTTCGGAAGAGTTAAATGATCAATTCTTAATTAGTTTAAAGGGTTGGTTTAGGACTTCTAAACCTTATATTGAGTGCATAATTCGATCCTACACCTGTTAGATTGTTATGTATGCTTATACTGGAGTATGGTTGGTTTGCATCTAATACTGTTTTATCAACTATGTTAACTGGAGGGTTGTATGTACCGGTATGGGACGGTGACATACTAGGTATGGATTAGTTCAAGCACTAAATCCTACCTAATTTGGAATGAGTTGGATTAACCATAAAAATGTTAAGTCCTACTTATATGGATATATATGAACTGGTATGGGACGGTATCATATTAGGGATGGCTTAGTTCAAAACACTAAGACCTACCTATATTGGGAATGGATTAGTTCAAAACACTAAATTCTACCTAATTTGGATTAAGGTATGGATTAACCATAAAGGTTAAGTCCATCACCTACTTGTGTCATGTCAATCAAATAAATTGAATGACCTATTATGGTTTCCGGATGGATTTGTTATACATATATCAGACCACTATACAGATGGATGATATTTTGTATTAGGAGTACGGACTTTATATATTTATTATATGTGCCATGGTATGAGCTTGAGTCTCAGGACCATGGTTAGGACGCGTATATCGCCTAGGATGGATAACTGGACATAGGTGTTATTCCCTGGTAGGTCTATGTACTCAGGCCCACCTTAGGGTGCGTATTTGCATGTTGCCTTCTATTCAGGCTGAGACAGACCTACTGGACTAGTGAGCGTCCTATAGTGTGTACTATATACATATATGGACTACTCTAGATATTGTTGAGTCTTCCTATGATGTATCTGCGTATCGGATTACTACTTGGATTGTAGTAGATCAGGACTTGCATGTGGGCCTGACCCACTATTTTATTTTTCAGGTGCTCGTCAGTTCCAGAGTTAGAGGTTGATCGTGCAGAGCAGATACAGATATTCATTCCTCCGACTATATAGAAATCTTCTTTATAATAGCTTTAGAGTTTATTTCTGTCATTTTAATTTCGGTTTGAGAATTTTAATAAGGGATCCAATGGATGGATTCCCGAGTTGTAAACTTATGGAGATTTTGGAATATCAGATTGGACTAATTGTGATATAAGGTTTTTCTTTTAGTTTCTTTCAGCTTTTAATTTATTTCTTAAATCATTTTTTTGTATTCCGTGTTCGATTTAAAATACTCTAATTGTTTGATATCCCTCGGGTTTGGGCCTAGGCCTGATCAACCCGTGTCTCGGATCCGAGAGGTATCACAATCTCTCATCTCTCTTCTCTTCGTTTAGGACTCTCTCGCTCTCTATACTCCCATCAATTATTACAAGGATGAAAATATCATTGGGAATCTAGGGTTAGACCAGCTGCTACCATCTGCCCTAGTTGATGTTGTGAAAGTTTACTCTTTTCCTTCCACTTGCTTAATTCTTTAGATTTCTTCTCACCGCATATTTACTGATATTGTCATTGTTGATCATATAGAGTCTGTACCAGACTATGGCACTGTGTGCCACTGTTAAAAGTCAGTCTCTTTCTATTAAGAAACTAGAAAGGGACCTGTGCAATGCTAAGAAGAAGGCTTCGCATTTTGCTATGAATGCGAAGATTGCTTCCGACGCTAAGGATGTCTACAAGAATCACTTGGCAGCTTCTGAGGTGAAGGTGGAGACTCTGGAAGCTAAAGTCCAACACTTGAATGACGTCATTGGTACCTGCATTACTGCTGGGAGGCAAATGCAAGGACGCTACTCTACCATTGTGCGTTTATCCAGTGCAAAGGCTTTTAGGTTCGGCTTCAGCCAGGGCTCTGGTGACAAAGCAAAGGATCCAGAAACCTTTAATGCTGACATGGAAGTGTCATTCCCTTACGCTGAGGGTCCAAAGACCCAAGAAGCTGAGTTGCTCTAGACTGATATGGTGAAGGCTTATCTAGAGGATCATCCAGCTTCAAGCTAGCCGGCTTCTCCATCATCTGACCTTCCAGCTCCTTTATCCACAAGTCCGAATGTTGTAGATGCCTTTGACTCTGCTCCCTTTGATCCAAAAAGGAAATAGATTTGTGTAACTCTTTTTTTTTTTTTTTTTTTTTTTTTTTTTTTTTTTTCTTGTTTTGAAGGAATGAATGTAGAAACTATATATTTTTGCTCTTAAAATGCAA